TTATAATACAATATAATACTTACCAGCTGGTTATTATAAAGAAATAAAAATTAATTTTATTTAGTTGTTATAAAAATCAATTTATAATATGGGGCATGCTGCAACAAAACCAGACAAAGTGATCATTATATTACACAATCTAAAGAATGTCTTTGATAAGATAAAAACAGATGGTTTGAAATTAAAAAGATTTTTTATTTAACAATTTTGTTGATGAAGAAAAGAAAACAAGTTATATTATAATAGCAATAATCCAAAGTAAATGGCATCTATAAACTCTTCAATTAGATCTATATCACCACATGACATCACTTCATTAATCCTTCTATCCTTCTTAATTTTTCCCCAATTATCATGAATGTATTTTAGTGCAGAATTTTTCAATGAAAAATTTTTTGTCTTCCAACCAATGAACAACAAATAATTCCAATTATTATCATTAGCTTGATCAGTGATTTTTGAAACAACCATTTCACTCAACTCTGGAATATTTCTGATATCGGCTTTGATACATAAATCCTCCAAAACAAATAGTGGTAGATGATCATCTAATTTACCAGTGTATAGGAAATAAATCAAGTGTTTGAAACATTGATAAGTGACGTCTTCAATGGGAATTATTAATGCATTTGATTCTTCCCATCCACCATTGAACATTTTATTAAAATAATCAGAGCGTGTAGATAAAGCTGATCTTGATGCTCTAATTTCTGATCCATCACTGAAACTAAAAGTTATGTCATTAAAGTCATCATTTCTGTTGAAATAACACTCTAAGGAAGGCTGAAATTTATTAGAGATATCATTATTATTGGTATTACTGTTGTGGTGATTTAATTGTGAATTATCTTCAATATGTAATTTCACTCTGATCACTACATTGGTTTTAATTGTTGTCATTATTTGGAAACAAGTCTGATAACTTACAAAATTTTGTTATACTATTACTATCACTTTTTTGACCAATATAAAAATATCCAAAACCTGTTTGAGTATTATTTATAAGTTCCAAATCAACTTTGGCTGGTGAATTGGAATTGAATTTGACTTTAAAGATTTCAAATGAGTATTTAACCATTCTACAATAAACAGATTTGGCAATTTCATGTTCCATCAGATATGCATAAAGCAGGGTTGGCAAATTGACTGGTCCATTGAGAACAGATGGATTTTGGACTGGTCCATTGCCATTAATAAAATACTAAATATGGTTAAAGTGTTACACTAATGGACCCAATGGACCACCAATAGACCATCAATGGACCGCACATTTGCCAACCCTGGCATAAAGGAATAATGATAAGTATTGTTCTGTTTTAGTGTTGTAACCATGTGGAACTAGACAAAGTCTCCAGGCACCTGAATAAAAAGATTCACTCCATATTGTTTCAGAATATTCTGGAACTTTATAAAAATGATCAAATTCTCTAATAACCCAGTTAAAAGATGTTGTAACAGGTAATAAATCGTCACCATCATCATTTGCATCAACATTGGAAGAACCAGAAGGTGATAGTGAATCGTAATCATCAAGATATTCTGAAATATTTCCATCTCCGAGCTTATCTACATTGGCCTCCTTCCTAAGTAAGCAAAAAACAGTTTATAATAAATACTGGAGTGATGACAAGTGGCAATAACCAACATTCTTACAATAAACAACACTTACCCAGCAAATCCTTCTCGTACAGCTTGTTGATTCCTTTGATTTCTTAAAGAGTGACGACAAGTGGCGGTGATAACCACCACCACCATTGTTATGATAAACAAATACTTACGCATTTTTTCCTTCAAATTGTTGATTTCTTTTATTGACTGTATAGGACATTTTTTTTTTTATAAAAATATAAAAAAAGTTTATTATTTGATTGATCGACAAACACTAATTATTTATGGAACAGCATAGTGGAAGTTTGTTGTTACACGAAACATTATACGGAACTCATTGCTTCTGAAACTTCGCCAGCATATAGTTGTTACCTCTCTAAATCAGAGATAAAGTTCAGATCCAATTCAAATCTAGTTTATCACTTATTTTTTATTGCCAGAATGTTTGCCGTGTATTGTAAAGCTACGTTGCACAATATAAAAAATTAGT